TGGAGCATGTGGAAATTCTGGAGCATGTGGGAGCATTGCTGGAGCATGTGGGAATTCTAAGTTTAATTCAAGTGTCAAACCCAAGACCTTGTCATGCTAAGCAAATGTTTCCTAAAAGATAGTCCGCCCCACCCCTCCATTCCCCAGCCAGGCTTGGTGGTGCACACCTGTAGTCCCAGCACTTGGGAGGCAAAGGCAGGCAGATCTCTGTGAGTTCAAGGCCAGCCTGGTCTACATAGTGAGTTCAGGTCAGCTGGGACCACAGGGAGACCCTGTCTCAAAAAGACAAAAAAAAAGTTTAAATAAAGGGCTGGAGAGATGGCTCAGTGGTAAGAGAGTCTGCTGCTTTGTAGAGGATCCAAGTAATGTTCCCAGCACCCATGTTGGGAGGCTCACAACCACAGGTAACTCCAGCTGTAGGGGAATCTGACACCTCTACCCTCTGCAGGCACCCGTACTTGCCTGCACAGACCCACGCAGAGACACACAGTTACAAATAAAATAAAATCTTGGGCTGGAGCAATGGCTCAGTGGTTAAGAGCACTGGCTGCTCTTGCAGAAAACCAGGTTTCAGTTCCCAACACCCACATAGAGACTAACAACCATCTGTACCAGTTCCAGAGGATCTGATGCCCTCTCCTGACCTCCGAGGGCATTGCATGACATGAGTGCACTTACACACATGCAGGCATAACACTCATACACAGAAATTTAAATTTTTTTAAAAAAACCAAAACCGGGTCTGGAGAGATGGCTTAGTGGTTAAGAACACTGGTTGTTCTTGCAGAAGACCTGGGTTTGAATCCCAGCACCCACATGGCAGCTAACACCTGTCCGTTAACTCCAGTCCCAGGGGATCCAACAGCCTCTTCTGACCTCCGAGGGCACTGCACTACATGGGTGCACTTACCTACATGCAGGCAATACACACGTACACATAAAATAAAATTAAATAAAAAAACCAAAACCAAATAAAATCTTTTTAACAATTTCAAATACATCAAGTTCAAAGAACTTAGTGTAACATTCATGGGCTGCTCATTTAGATATGAAAATGATATTTTATTTACTTATTTGTGGTGATATTTTTGTCTTTTTGAGATAGGGTCTCCCTGTAGTCCCAGTTGACCTGAACTCACTATGTAGACCAGGCTGGCCTTGAACTCACAGAGATTCGCTTCCCTCTGCCTCCTGAGTGCTGGGACTAAAGGCATGTGTCACCATGCCAGGCTTGTGATTTTTTTGAAACAGGGTTTCCCTGTAGTCGTGGCTGGCCTGGAACTTGATATGCAGACCAGGCTTGCCTCAATCTCGAAGAGATCCACCTGCCTCTGAAAATTAGATTTTAAAAGATCTATTTGATGCTGGTGTATAATTACTTATTTTTAAATTTATGTTATGAGCTAGGTCTGGTAGTACTGGTCTATAATGCTAGCTCTTTGGGAGGCTGAGGCAGAGGATTGAAAGTTCAAGGCCTTTCTGGTCTACAGAGCAAGTTCAAGGCCAGTCTGAGAAATTTATAAAGCTCAGGCATCAAAATAAAAATAGTTTTAAAGGGGTAGGGGGTGACTGGGGATGCAGCTTAGTGGTAGAGTGGTTACCTAGTAAGTAGGGGGCTTTAGATTCAATTTCCAGTGTCAAGAAGCAGAAGAAAAAAAGCAATCTATCACCCTTTTTTGCACATGTGGGATGAGGCTCAGTGGTAAAATGGTTGTGTAGCATGCTTAAGGTACGGGGTTCAATTCCTAGTGCCTCAAAAATCTATTAAATAGAAAATTTTAAACTATGAAAATGGGCTAGCAAGATGATTTAGTGGGCAAAGGTGCCTGCCATCAAGCCTGATGACCTGAGCATGATCCCCAGGACCCAACTAGTGGAAGGAGAGAACTGACTCTCACAAGTTGTCCTCTGATGGCCACATGTACACCGTAGCATGTGTGCCCACCCATACAAAATAAATGATTAAATGAAATTAATAAAACTATGAAAATGTCAGAATAGTAATGGTCTTCTCCCTTTCGATTTTACTGAGAATTTTTAGCCCAAGTCCAGAGTTTTGTTTTGTTTTTTAGTTTTCCAGTAAAATGAGCATCACTCATAGAGGAGCGCTTTCAGGTCCTGGAGACGCTCATGTTTTACAGTTGAGATCTCAGGTTTTCTCATAGTGATGGAAAGTCATCAAGACAGCAGAAAAAATAGTCTCCTTTGATAGCCATGACTCACTGACATGGCCATCCTTCAGTTCATCTTGATATAGGACAAGAGGGTCCTAAGAAGCTGCAAGGTCCCTGCTACATTATGTTCTAGAGCACACATATGAATTGATGTCCCATTTAAAATGTGTCAGAAGCCGGGCGTGGTGGTGCATGCCTGTAGTCCCAGCACTTGGGAGGCAGAGGCAGGTGGATCTCTGTGAGTTCAAGGCCAGCCTGGTCTACATAGTGAGTTCCAGGACAGCTGGGGCTACAGGGAGACCCTGCTTCAAAAAGACAAAATAAATAAATAAATAAATAAATAAATAAATAAATAAATAAAATAAAAATAAATAAATAAAATGTAATGTCAGGGCTGGAGAGAGGGCTCAGTGGTTAAGACCACTAGCTGTTGCAGAGGACCTGAGTTCAGATCCCAGCACCTATATGGCACTCCATAACTCCCATTTCAGAGAACCTAACGCCCCCTTCTGGCCTCTATGGGTATTGCATGACATGCATGCACTTACATACATGTAGGCAAGACACTCATGCATAAAATAAAAATTATATTCATAAAAATAATGTTATCGAGAAGCAGGTCTTGCTGGCTTTACTTTAGGAACAGCAGAGAACTGAGAAGACAGATGATACCCAGGCCTGTCTTTAAACCAATGAAATTAGAATCTTGAACTAGACATGGTGGCTTGGTGTGAGTTGGAAGCCATCCTGGGCTACAGAGAAAGACTGTCTCCAAAAACAAGCAAGCAGCAAGCAACCCAGAAAACCAACCAACCAACCAAACAGCAACAAAAATAGAAAAACAAAATAAAAATCGAAGTGAGGGGCTAGATAGATGGCTCAGTGGTTAACAGTACTTGCTGTTCTTGAAGAGGACCCAGGTTTGGGTCCTAGCACCCACACAGTGGCTAACAACTACTGAGTTTCAGGGGATCTGGTATCCTCCACAGGCACCAGGCACACACATGGTACACATACATGCGTACAAGCAAACACTCATATATATATATAAATAAATGTCTTTTAAAAAGTCTGGAAGTGAGACATAGGCATTATGTTAATAAAAAAAAAACCTTGGAGAGCTGAGCTGAGGTGCCTGTAATCCCAGCACTCAGAAGGTGGAGGCTGGAGGGTCAGCAGTTTATGGTATCCTCTGCTACATAGTTTGAAGTCAATCTGGGCTAAACGAGACCCTGCCAACAAAACAAAACAGAGAAAAGTAACATTGGAGGTCAAGAGGGTGAGCATATTAGTCTCTATGTATTGTACATGGCTTTGTTCATATTAATTGCAAAATACCAACTTTTAAATTTTTTGTGAACGTATTTCTTCATAATCCATAGTTAGTATATGTATATGTGTGAGGTGTATGTGTGCTTATGTGAGAGGGTGTGAGCAGAGGCCAGAGGAGGATGTCAGCTGTCTGCTCTATCACGCCACATTATTTATTCCTTGGGGGGGGGCACTAATGAATCTAGTCAGTTGTCAGTTTCAGGGACTTCCTGAAACTATTGAGTCATTTACTTCCGGAGCTTAAGAGCTTCCCTGAAGGATGGGATGTTTCACCTCTCCCTAAAACATCCTCTCTTTATGAGCTTTCATCCAATGCACCTTTACATGGGTTTTGGGGATAGAACTCAAGTAGCACTTGTACACTTTACTGGCTGAGCCATCTTGCAGGCTCCAATGGCTACTTTACCCATAGTAGGGAGCTGAATTACATTGAGACCTTGTTTCAAAAAACAAAACAGCTAGGTACAGTGGTGTACACTTTTAACCCACCACTTAAAGGCAGAGGCAGGCAGATCTCTGTGAGTTCTGGGCTAGCCAGAGCTAGATAGTGAGATCTTGTCAGGAACCATTGTACCATGAACTCACTACAGCTATGGTTGCCCGCACAAGACCTACACACAATCAAAGCAGTGAACATTCCTGCAAGGAGTGGGAGAGGGGTTCAGGAGCCCCCACCTCTAGCTGGAGCGCTATCTACAGTTAATGGCTTCATGGGGAAGGAAGAGTCAGTTTTAAGTTTGTGGTCTCTGGTAGGTCCACCAGGCTCCAGTGGATGGCCCCTCATCCATGAGTATATATGGGCCGTGCAAATTGGAATCAGAATTTATAAATCTTTTTTTGTTGTTGGTTTTAGACCCAGGCTCCCTGTAGCCACAGGTGATCTGGAACTTGCTATGTAGACCAGGCTGGACTGGATCTCACAGAGATTCACTTGCCTCTGTCTCCCAAGCTCTACTGGACCCTGCTTAAAAAAAAAAAAAAGACACCCGGTTGGGGTGGGATGATGGGAGGTGGATCTGGGAGGAGTTACTGGAGGAATGGGGGTGAATTTAATTAAAATACATTGTATGAAACTGTCAAAGAAAAAACAATTTATATTCAAACCAATCAAACAAAAGATAATAAACTTGACTCAGGTAGCTGGTAGTGATGGCACAGGCCTTCAATCCTGGCACTCGGGAGGCAGAGGCAGGGGGATCTCTGTGAGTTCGAGGCCAGCCTTGATTACATAGCGAGTTCCAGGTTAGCCAGGGCTTCATAGTGAGACCCTGTCTCAAAAAAGAATCAGAAACAAACAAAAAACCCCAGAAACCTTGGCCCAGGTGACAGTAGCACCCCTAGCACACACAAGCCTTGATCAAGCTGACCAGGAAAGACAAGCGGAAGTCGGGTTGAGGCCCACGGTATGACCTTCGAGCGTGAGACCCGAAGGGTTATGGGACTTGTAGTTGTTTTTGCAGTATATCCGCTTCATGAACTACATTTCCCAAAATGCACATGTGTCCGGATAGTCCCGCTGTTGGACGTGAACTGTGAGAGGTGAGTTGTCTGGGGACTTCAAGTTTCTAGAAGTTGTGCGGTTTTTGGAAGGGATTCCGTTGTTCTGGAGAGGACATGAAGACAGCAGCTGTTCCCACGGAACGTGCTTTTCATGGGTTTCCCTAGCCAGGAAGCTGGACTAGTTGTTTAACGTGTGTCTGTGGACTGTAGGGAGAAAGCTGGGTCCTGAACTCAACGTGGAAGGCCGAACATAAATGAGTATGAGGTTCATGTCACTAGATAATTTATGCATTATAATTTCCGCATTATATAATGATATGTATCATTATATATGCCCAAAGGCTGGCTTTTATAACTAGGAAAGCCGATAAGCAAGGGGGGGGGGTGTCTTAGTTTTTTTTAAAAAATTGGTTGACTGACACAGGGTCTCCCTGTAGCCCCATGTGGCCTGGAATTCGTTATGTAGACTAGGCTGACCTCGAACTCACAGAGATCTGCTTGTCTAAGCCTACCAAGTGCTGGGGTTAATATGTGCGCTACCACGCCTGGCCTAAAGATTAAAAAAAAAAAAAAACTATATGTACATGTGTGTGTTTGTGTGTAGATATTTGCACGTGTGAGTCAGATCACCTGGAGTTACAGGTGGTTGTGAGCTACCTGATGTGGGTGCTGGGAACTGAACTCAGGTTATGTGGAAGAGCAGTATATGCTGAGTCATCTCTTTGTGTTTTGAGTCCGGGCCAGTCTCAAGTCTCAAGCTGGCCTCAACCTCTGTAGGTGAGGATGACCTTGAACTTCTGATACTTGTACTCCTGCTTCCCCGGTTCTGGGGTTACAGACATGCGCTACCATGCCTGGTTTTATGCCGGACTGGGGATCAACCCAGGGCATCATCATGCACACTTAGTAAGCACTTTACCTCGTCCAAAAGATTTTTTTTCTCCAGCATATTGCATGGCCCTGGCAACTACTACTATTTGTATAGATTTGCCTATTCTGGATCTCACGTAACTAGAGTCATAAAACATTTGTCTTTTTGTAACAGACTTCTTATATTTAGGATCTTTTCTTTATCTTTCCCTTTCTTTTCTCTCTGTTCCTTTCTCTTTTGAGACAGGGTCACATGTAGTCCAGGCTAACCTCATACTCTCCTTAAAGTTTTTTTGATTTATTTATTTTTATTTTATATATATATGTGAGTGTTTTGTCCTGCAATGCCTGCAGAGGTAGAAGAGGACGTCAGATCCCCTGGAACTGGAGTTACAGATGGTTGCTAGCGCCTTGTGTACGCATTCCAGCCCAGGTGCTCTTAACCACTGAGCCATGGCTCTAGCCCCTGGCCTCATACTCTAAATGTAGCCTTGAGCTCCTGTTTCTTCTGCTTCTACCTCCCCTTTGCTGTGATTCCGGACATGGGTCAATTTTTTTTATCATTGTATGATATTCAGTTGTGTAGATACACACATTTTTGTTTGTTCATTCATCAGGTGGTGATTACCTTTATTTGTAAAACCCAGCTTCTCACATGGGGTTTCTTTTTCTCTAGAGTGAGAATGAGTGGGTTGACTTTCAGGTCAACAAAAGGCCATTGGATCACGAGCCTCAGCCGGCATGGATCCACTGGGTTATTTGTGCCACTAAGTCCTCCTTTGGACCCTGAGAAGATAAGAGAGTTACAGTGCTTCATCACCCTTTCCAAGAAACTCCTAGTGATGACGGGGGCAGGAATTTCCACCGAGTCAGGGATTCCAGACTACCGGTCAGAAAGGGTGGGACTTTACGCCCGCACTGACCGAAGACCTATTCAGCATTGCGATTTTGTTCGAAGTGCCCAAGTCCGCCAGCGGTACTGGGCCAGAAACTTCGTGGGATGGCCTCAGTTCTCCTCCCACCAGCCCAACCCTGCACACTGGGCTTTGAGCAACTGGGAGAAACTTGGAAAGCTGCACTGGTTGGTGACTCAGAATGTGGATGCTTTGCACACCAAAGCAGGAAGTCAGCGTCTCACTGAACTACATGGATGTATGCACAGGTGCAGGAAGTCTAAATGGTTTGAACTTAAAAGTGTGTGTGTCTTCAGGAGCACAAGAACTTTGGGTATCTCGATCAGGGTGGGAGCAAGTTGTTTACTTTGGAGTTGGTTGGTCCTGGTAAATTCCAAGAGTTAGTCAGGATATACATAGGGAAGGGTGCAAGCCAAGAAAGGATGCATGCAGGGGTTGCAGCTTTAGTGGTAAGGTGCTAACATGTGCAAAGCTCTGGGTTCAGTTTCCCAGAACCAGAAAAAAAAAGTGAGCAGTGCTCTATCCTCCCATAACTTTCTGTCTAGAATATGCTTCCAAGTTAACTCAGCTGTACAGAAAGAGCCATCATGAGGATGGTGAATAACATTGAGATATGAGTTTGGGTTGAAAAAAGAATCATTTCACCAAAAGTGAAGAAACCTGGGATGCTAACCCACTGTCCCCCACCCCTCACTGTCTAGCATGCTTACTCTCTTTTTTTTTTGTCTCTCTTTTTTTTTTTTTTTTTTTTTTGTCTTTCTCCTCGTAGCCCCAGCTGTCCTGGAACTCTCTATGTAGACCAGGCTGGCCTTGAACTCAAAAAGATCCACCTGCCTCTGCCTCCCAAGTGCTGGGATTAAAGGCGTGTGGCACCACACCTGGCACTCACTCTTTTTAAAATATTTTTATTTTTTACTTTGTGTGGTTATTTTGCCTACACCATGTGCACACTGCGCCCACAGAGGCCAGAAGAGGGCATTAGATCCCCTGGAACTAGATGTATGGATGGTTGTTAGCTACCACGTGGGTGCTGGGAACTGAACCCAGGTCCTCTGCAAGAGCAGTCAGTCCTCTTAACCGCTGAACCATCTCTCCAGCCCCCTCTTTCATTTTCTCTTTCTTCCCTCCCTCCCTCCCTCCCTCCCTCCTTCCTTCCTTCTTTCTTTTTTTTTTGGTCTTTTTGAGACAGGGAGGGCTTAGCACATGCTAGGCCAATACTCTACCTCAGAGCTATATCCCCACCCAGCCTCCTCCTCCTCTCCTCCTCTCTTTTCCTTTTTTTTTTTTTTTTTTTTTTGTCTTTTTGAGACAAGGTCTCTCTGTAGTCCCAGCTGTCCTGGAACTCACTATGTAGACCAGGCTGGCCTTGAACTCACAAAGATCCGCCTGCCTCTGCCTTCCAAGTGCTGGGATTACAGGCGTGCACCACCGTGCCTGGCTTTCCTTTTTTTAAAAAAAATATTTTATTTTTATTTTATGTATGTGAGTGTTATGACTGCATGTAGGTAAGTGCACCCATGTCCTGCAATGCCTGGGGAGGTCAGAAGGAGGCTGTTGGATCCCCTGGAACTGGAGTTCCAGACGGTTGCTAGCTGTCATGTGGGTGCTGGGATTTGAACCCAGGTCATCTGTAAGAACAGCCAGTGTTCTTAACCGCTGAGCCATCTCTCCAGCCCCCTTAAGAATTTTTTTCATTTCGTGTGTATGTGTGCGCCAGCATAAGTCCATATGTACCACATGAAGGCCCCCTGAGGAGGCCAGAAGAGAGCACTGGATCCCCAGGAGTTAAGAGTTCCAGTTTGGGGGCTGTCATGTGGGTGCTGAGAACTGAACTCGGGTTGTCTGCAAAAGCAGTAAGAAGTCTTAACCTCTGAACCATCTCTTTAGCCCTGCCCCCTTTTAAATTTAGCTTCTCTATGTGTGTGATGGCCTGTGAGTGAATGCAGGCCTACATGTGCCACAGTGTGCACCTGGAGGTCAGAGGACAACTTGCAGGAGTTGGTTCTCTCCTTCCACCTTTAGGTGGGTTCCAGGGATAAAACACAGTTTATTACCTTTGCTCAGCAAGTGCTTTTACCCACTGAATCATCTCACTCACTGGCCCCTACTGTTCTTTGTTCTTTCTTTCTTTCTTTCTTTTTTTTTTTTTGGTCTTTTTGAGACAAGTTTTTCCTGTAGCCCTAGCTGGCCTGGAACTCACTATTTAGACTAGGCTGGCTTCGATCAGAGATTTGCTTGCCTCTGCCTCCCAAGTGCAGAAATTATAGATTTGCACCACCATGTCCAGCCCCCACTGTTCTTCAGAAGATTCCCATGGCTAGTGAAAACCCTAAGCACTGGATGAAAGGGGTGTAACTCAATAGTAGAGTACACTGGGTTCTAGCTCCAGCAGAGGGGGGAAAGGAGTGGGGGGAGGAGGAAGCAGGAGGAAGGGGAGGGGGGAGGAGGGGGGAAGAGAGAGAGAGAAACAGGAAAACTAAGTATGCAAGTGGCCTGCACTGTGCCCTCTGACGACATATATACAGAGTATCAACGGCATATACTACAAACTGCTGGGTCTCCAATTCCTAGACACAAAGACTACAGTATATAATCATATAGCCTGGTATATAATCAGATTTCAATAATTACAGATCTCAGACAAAATGCCTGCAGCCCTGGAAATAGCATGTAGCTAATTGGAGACCATTTCTTTATCATTAAACTCCAGAGATTATCCTTTGAAATCAGACTGCCAGTTGTGAATATTTACTGGGTGCCTGTGATGTATGGTGTATATTTATTTGTGTGCTACTTTAGGTGTGTTAGAGGGATCAAAACCAAAGTCCAATACATGCTGTATTTTATTTGCAGGTATTTTGAATGTCTGGGGGGTAGGCACAAAAATAACATATGTGGGCCATTCAGGTTGCTCAGTGGGTGAGGTTGCTGCTAACCCTGATAATTTGAGTTTGATCCCCAGGATCTTCATGGTGGAAACAGAGAACTGACTCCTGCAAGTTATCTTCTAACATTCTCTCTCTCTCTCTCTCTCTCTCTCTCTCTCTCTCTCTCCTCACACACACACACACACACACATACACACACACAATACATTAAATTGAAAAATAGGGCTGGAGGGCTGGAGAGATGGCTCAGCAGTTAAGAACACTGGTTGTTCTTGCAGAAGAACCAGGTTCGAATCCCACACCCACATGGCAGCTAACAACTGTCCATAACTCCAGTTCCAGGGGATCCAACAGCCTCTTCTGTTCTTTGCAGGCATTGCACAATACAGGTGCAGGCAATATATGCATATACATAACATAAAAATAAAATAGCCGGGCATGGTGGTGCACGCCTTTAATCTCAGCACTCGGGAGGCAGAGGCAGGCAGATCTCTGTGAGTTCAAGGCCAGCCTGGTCTACATAGTGAGTTCCAGGTCAGCTGGGGCTACAGGGAGACCCCGTCTCAAAAAGACCAAAAAATTAAACTAAAATAAAATATTAAAAACATAGGGTTGGAGAGATGGCTCAGCGATTAAGAACACTGGTTGTTCTTGCAGAAGACCCAGGTTCGAATCCCAGCACCTACATGGCTGCTAACAATTGTCTGTTAACAACAGTTCCAGGGGATCTGACAGTCTCTTCTGTTCTCCATGGGCATTGCACAACACGGGTGCGCTTATCTACATGCAGTCAATACACGCATACACACAAAATTAAAAAAAAAATAACAGAGGCAGGAGGATCACAAGTTTTGCAACTTGGTCTCAAAACAAAATAAAACAGGCCAGGCATGGTGGCACATGCCTTTAATCCCAGCACTTGGGAGGCAGAGGCAGGCAGATCTCTGTGAGTTCAAGGCCAACCTGTTCTACATAGTTCCAGGACAGCTGGGGCTACAGGGAGAACCTATCTCAAAAAGACCAAAAAATACCAAAATAAAACAAAAACCTTTGGGACTAGAGAGATGGCTTAGCAGTTTAGAGCACTTCTGGCTCTTTCAGAGGTCCCAAGTTTGATTGCAGCACCCATGTTGGGTGGGTGGCTTACAACCACCTGTAACTACAGCTCCAGAAGATCCAACACCCTCTTCTGACCTCTGCTGGCACCCACATACATGGGGCATGCACACACACACAGATACATAATACATATAAAAAATAAAAACCAAAGAGAGCCCGGTGTTGTGATGTGACCTCTGCTGATACCTGTGTACATAGAACATATATACAGAGATACATACAATACGCATACAAAATAAAAATAAGAACAAACAGCCAAGCAAGGTGATACACACCTTTAATCCCAGCACTTGCACTCAAGAGGCAGAGGCAAGCAGATCTCTGTGAGATAAGGTCAGCCTGGTCTACATAGTTCCAGGCTGGTGGGACTACAGGGAGACCCTGTCTCAAAAAACAAAGCAGGTGCCAGGCATGATGGCTCATGCCTTTAATCCCAGCACTTGGGAGGCAGAGGCAGGTAGATCTCTCTGAGTTCAAAGACCGGCCTGGTCTACACAGCAAGTTGCAGGCCAGCCAGAGCTACAGGGGACCCTGTCTCAAAAAGACGTAAAAAAGATTGGAATAATTGAGAAAGCTTTTCTGGGTAAAGTGAGGCTTGATATTGGCTGAAGCTGGACTAGGTAAAAGGGGATTAAAAAAAAAAAAAGCTTTCTAAATGAAGGGAATCTGGAGAGCACAGGAAAGTTTGGCCAACCTCTATGGAGGGTTTGCATGGGGCGTAGTATGAAATCAGGCTGCCTGGGAAGTTTAGAACTTAATCATAGTTAAATTGAAAATGAGGCTGTCCCCAAAAGGGACCATTAGTGGTTTCTAAGCATGAAAGCAATATGATGGAAACAGCATGAGTGGAAGGCGAGACAAGATTAGAAAGAGGGTTAGAGCGGTCAGCCTGAGGACCTAGACTATGTGGTATTAAGGGAACTGAGAATTAATAGTGCCTATGGGTTCAAGAAAAAAGCATTTCTGTCATGAAGAAAATTTCAGACATTTACAAAAAAATTAAATCAGTTCTCATGTCATCAACCTAAATTCAAGGGTTTTATCCTTTCCACTTCATTCTTAATATCTTTTTAGTTTATAAAATTATTATTGTATGCTTGGATGTGTGTATGTGTATGTGTGTGTATGTGAGTGAGGGTGTGCATGTACCTCCACGTACATGAGTAGCTCAAAAGACAACTTCTGGAGTCCTACTCTGTTCTGTTTTTTGTTTTGTTTTCTGTTTTGTTTGGTGCTGATGGTACTGGGCATTGAACTAGGGCCTCACACATGCTAGGCAAGTCCTCTACTACTGACCTACATCTCTAGCCCTTTAAACACTTTAAAACTTTAAACTTGTCATTCCGTAGGAGTTTTTTTTCTGTTACTGTGTGTTGTGTTGTGTTCATTTGTTTTGAGACAGAGGCTGATAGCTTAGCTTGCCCTCAAACTCCCTATGTAGTCAGAGCTGAACTTGAACCTCTGATCCTCTTGCCTCCATCTCTCAAGTGCTGGGATTACAAGACCGCACCATCAACTCTGATCTCTCCCTCTCTTTTTGAGTGCCAGGGATGGAACTCAGGGCCTTGTGTGTGCTAAGCAAGTGCTCTATCACTTTAGTTCTTGGTTTTCTGAGACAAGGTCCCCATGTACACCCCTGGTTGGCCTTGAATTTAATCCTCCTGCCTCTACTCCCCACTCCCCAGTGCTTGAATTTCAGACCTGTGCCACCATCTCCCACCCCTTGGTCCTTTTAAGTGAAGAAAATATAATCTGATGACTGACTGAATTAAAAGGAAAAAAATAAGGAACTGATTTCCCCCCAGAGTTTTAGCACAGGTCCCTGGAGGAGCAACAGTGATGGGAAGGTTGGGGTGGAGTGGATAAAGAGAAGTTAAACTCAACCCTCCAGAATTGCAGGAAGAGCTGCAGAAAAGGAAACTCTTATGTCCAGACGGTGAGGGCTATAGTAAGAAAGCTTCTCAACTTGGGACCACAGGACCCAAAGTGGTGGAGGCTTGGGGCACATAGAGGAGAAACCAACTAGACCCCGTCTTTCTCTTTCTTTCTCTCTCCTCTCTCTCCTTCCTTCCTTCCTGCCCTTCCTGCCTTTCCTGCCTGTCTTTCTTACAAGGCCTCATACTGTAGTCCAGTTAGCCTTGAACTTGTAGCAATCCCTGTGCCTTAACCTCCTGAGTGTTGGAATTACAGGTGTGTTCCACCATGCCCAGCCCTTATTTTTTCTTTGAATAACTATATTTTCCACTAAGTTGGAGGCAGGCACTGTTGTAGGTGGTGGGAACAGAGCAATGATCAAAGGGCACAGGGAGTTTTTAGAAGAGGTGTCAAAGATTTAATTTTTATTTTACATGAGTGTATTGTCTGCTTGTATGTATGTGCACCACATGTGTACAGTGCCTGAGAGTCCAGAAGAATGCATCAGATTCCCTGGACCTGGAGTTACAGAGAGTTGTGAGCCACCATGTGAGTGCTGGGAACCGAACCCTGATCTTCAAGAGTAGCCAGTGCTCTTAACAGGTAAGCCATCTCTCAAGCTCTTAAAAAATTCTTTTTTTATTTTGGCTTTTTGAAGCAGGGTCTCCCTGTAGCCTCAGCTGTCCTGGAACTCACTGTGTAGACCAGGCTGGCCTTGAACTCCACAGAGAAGATCTGCCTGCCTCTGCCTCCTAAGTGCTGGGACTATAGGCATGCACCACCATGCCCAGCTAAAAAATTCTTTTTTAAAAGGTAGAGTCTTGCTATATAGCTCTGGCCCTTGGAACTCACTGTGTAGACCAGGCTAGCTTTGAACTCAGCATGAATTTGTGTTATTATTTATTCATTTTTGGTGCTAGGGATAGAACCCAGGGCCCAATGGGTGCTGTGTACTTTCTCCACCACTGAGCTAGCTATACCCTCCAGCCCAGAAAAGTGTTTTTATTTACTTTTACTTTGTTTTGAAACAAGGTCTGAGGTGTCCCACTCTGGCCTTAAACTTGCTATGTAGCTGAGGATAACCTTGAACTTGCTACTATGGACGTGGGTGAACGTGCATGCCTGTATGTCTCTGTTTTTTTTTTTTTTTTTGTGTGTGTGTGTGTGTGTGTATGTGTGTATGTGTGTATGCCAGAGGTTGAAGGTGGATGTCTTCTTCAATTGTTTCCACATTATATTTTTGAGATGGGATCTCTTACTGAACCTGGAGCTCACTGATAACTAGACTGGCTAGCCAGTGAGCCCCAATGATCCTCCTGCCTCTGCCTCCCCAGTGCTGGGATTACAGGTCTTTCTTTTTACATGGGTGCTGGGAATCTGAACTTAGGTTTTCACAATGCACAGCAAGCACTTGTCCAACCAAACCATCTCTCCAGCCCTTGAAAAGTATCAATAGATAGTGATATTGACAATTGTAGTAGATGAACAGATCAAATGGGAAAAAGGACTGGTTTAGGTGCTAAGGAAATCACGTTAGGTGCTAAGGAAAGCATTTGCTGATGAATCAGGGATAAATGCATGCTAGGAAACTGCAAACAGGAATTAAAGAAACAGATGCCCATTATTCTAGAAGGTTAGAAAGGTGAGAAACAAGAACATGAAAATGGATGCCCTAATGGGGCTGGTGAGATAGCATAGTGGTTAAGAATACTGACTGTTCTTGCAGAAGACCCAGGTTCGGATCCCAGCACCCACATGGCATCCGACAGTCTCTTCTGTCTTCTGAGGGCATTGCATGACATGGGTGCATTTACCTACATCAGGCAATATACACATATACATAAAATAAAAATAAAATATTAAAAAAATAAATCTTGGGAGAGGTGGCTCAGAGGTTAAGAGCACTGACTGCTCTTGCAGAGGACCCGGGTTCGAGTCCCAGCACCCACATGACAGCTACAAACCATCCTTAACTCCAGTTCCAGGGGAATCCGAAGCCTTCTTCTAACCTCTGCAGCACTGCACGACACGGGTGCACTCACGCACATGCAGGCAATACACTCAAAAAAAGAAAGAAAATGGATGCCCTAAAATGGAGAGGAAATGTTGGTACTAGGAAAAGGAAGTGACTGGGGCCTAAGAGCTCTGGTGCCCCTCTGGCAGCTTTGTGTCTCCAGGAACCTGGTGTTCAGTGGGTCTCATATTTGTTTTTAGGGTCCTGTGCCTGAATTGTGGTGAGCAGACTCCCCGAGGGATGCTGCAAAAACGCTTCCAAGTCCTGAACCCCAGCTGGAGTGCCGAGGCACAGGGCGTGGCCCCAGATGGCGACGTGTTCCTCACAGAGGAACAGGTACAGAGCTTTCAGGTCCCATCCTGTGCTCGCTGTGGAGGCCCTCTGAAACCAGATGTCGTTTTCTTTGGGGACACAGTAAACCCTGACAAGGTTGACTTTGTACACAGGCGTGTGAAAGAAGCTGACTCCCTTCTAGTAGTGGGATCTTCCCTGCAGGTATCTGACTGGGTCAGGGTGGCAACTGCCCCTTTTACAGGGGGGTGGGGCAGTCTTGGAGGCACCCTCTGGTTTGGGTTTTCTTTTTCATCTTGTGCATGTGTGCATGTGTGTATATGTGATGTATGTATGTGTGGTATATGTATGAGTGCATGTGTATGTGTATGTATATGTATGTGTGGTATATGTATGAGTGCATGTATGTGTGCCCATGCATGTGCCTGTGGAAGTCAAAGGTCGATGCTGGGTGTCATCTTTATCACTACCTATTTTTTTTTAATTTATTTTTATGTGTATGAGTGTTCTGCCTGCATGTATTTAAGTGCACCACAGGCAAACCCTCAGAGCCCAGAAAAGGGTGTCAGATCCTCTGTAACTGGAGTTACAGACGTTGTAAACTGCCATGTGGGTGCTGGGAACTCAACCTGGGTCCTCTGCAAGCATTTGCTGATGCATCAGGGATAAATGCATGCTAGGAAACTGTAACGGGGAGTGAAGAAACATGTATGTTATTCTAGAAGATTGGAAAGAAGGTGAGAGACCATGAAAATGGATGCCCTAAAATGGGGAGGAAATGTAGGTGCTAGAAAAAGGAAGTGACAGAGGGGCCTAAGTGCTTGGGCACCCCTCTGGCAGCTCTGTGTCTCAAGGAGCCTGGTTTTCAATGGGTCTTCAGTGCTCTCAGCCACTGAGCCATCTCTCCAGCCCCTCTCTACCTTATTTTTGGGACAGGGTTTCACTGAACCTAGAGCTCATCAAGTGAATAGTTGGCTAGTCAGTGAGCCCCTGGGATCCTCCTGTCTCCACTTCCCATTGGTAGGATTACAGATCCTAATAGATGCTGGGGATCTGAGTTCAAGCCCTTATGCTTGGGTGGCAAGTACTTTACCCACTGAACCATCTCCCTAGCCCCTCTTTTAAAATATGCTCGTGAGTGTGTGTGTACCATAGAATGTGTGTGGATACAGTTCTCTCCTACCATGTGGTACTTGGGGATCAAACTCAAGTCATTAGGCTTGATGGCACATACCTTAACCTGCTGAGCCATCTTACCAGGCCCCAACTCTTTTAATCTTTTTTTGTATGGGGGGTGGTTAATGGATAGGTGGTGGTTTCTGGATCTAGCGAACTCATACTGTCTTCTGCCTGGGTAGGTGTACTCTGGTTACAGGTTCATCCTTGCTGCCCAGGAGAAGAAGCTGCCGATAGCCATTCTGAACATTGGGCCCACACGCTCAGATGACTTGGCCTGCCTGAAACTGAATTCCCGTTGTGGAGAGTTACTGCCCTTAATAGACCCTCATTGATCACAATCTGATGTTCACGAGCCAGAAACTGACTTTCCCTTGAATCTTGCTACTAGAGGTAAAAGCCCTCTCAGATGAGAGTTTCCAGCCATGTGTGAGGGCTTGTAATCCCAGCCCTCAAAGACTGATGTTGGAGGATTGCCTTGTGTTCAAGGCCAGCCTGGGCTACATAATGAGTTCTAGGCCAGATTAGGCTTGAAGTATGAGACCCTATCGCAATACAAAGCAAAACAAAAACAAGATGACAGATTCTGCTTCTCACTAGGCTGGGGTAGTTGGGTACCCTGAAAAAAATGTGCTATACTTCTTAACATATGACCATTCTTAATTAAAACTAATTTTTTTGGGGGGGGGTGGGGAGGTGGTTTTTTTTAAGATTTAAAATTTTTCTTTTAAAAATTTTATGTGTATGAGTAAATTGCCTGCATGTATGTAAGTGCACCTGTGTTGCGCAGTGCCCGAGGAGGTCAGAAGAGGGTGTCAGATCCCCCGGAACTGGAGTTATGGATGGTTGTTAGCCTCCATGTGGGTGCTGGGAATCCTACTTGGGTCCTCTGCAAGAGCAGTCAGTGCTCTTAACCACTGAGCCATCTCTCCAGCCCCTGGTCCTGGTTTTTTGGTGGGAAGGCTGATATTCACAACCATTTCCTCCTCCCCATTTCCAGTTTATCTAGGCATTAACCTGTTTTATTTCTTTTCAGATCTTTATAAGGATTCATATTTCCCCTCAAACTAATTGAAGCTTACTGATTGCATCCTGTAGAGGGCAGCAAACCTTCCTCTATCTGCCAGGCCAACCCAGCTGTGTCCAGAGGCAAAGGTCAAAGTCTTCAGGTTGATGAGACCCAAACAAGACTTTTTCAAAGAAACAGCTGCTCTTGATGGCAGAACTATGTTCCTTTCCTTTCTCTATCATCTGGCAGAAACAGCAGACTGGGAAGTGTGCAAGCCAAAGTGGTCTCTGGGGTGCTAGCCTGGGGTCTCACTAATTCAGGGAACACTAAGGAAGTGACTTCGTTTGTAATTCCAAAGGTTGTGTCATTAACTGAAGCACTTTGATACTTTTGATGAAACGAGCAATGGCATAAATGAATTTTTATTAACCAAGAATAAATAACATTTAATAGCATACCAGAACACCAGGTGTGTGGGCTGTGCATTTACACAAACACACACACATATTTTTTTATTTTTTATTTTTTGTCTTTTTGAGACAGGATCTCCCTGTATCCCCATTTGGCCTAGAACTCAAATGTAGACCAGGTTGGCCTTGAACTCACAGAGATCTGCCTGTGTCTGCTTCCTGAGTGCTGGGGTTAAAGGCATGCGCCACCACACCTGGCTATTTATATTTTTTTTAATCAGCTAAAAAAAATGGGGTTTTAAGGGTTCTAAGAATCTCTACTCAATGTTAGTTGTCAAAATGAGACATCTACCTTGAACCCCTCTACAAGAGTGAAAGCACTTAACTCCCTTGTGTGGTCTTAAGTTGATGTGTTTCTGCTGAGGAAAACAGCAAGACTTGATTACTGCATTAGCCAAAAAGAGTCCATGTACCTGAAATGTGAGGTGAGTGGAACAATCACAGTCTATTCCAGAAGGCCATTTTTGTTTCGTTTTGTTTGTTTGAGACAGTCTCCCTGTAGCCCCAGCTGGCCTAGAATTTGCTCTGTAGACCAGGCTGGCCTCTATCTTTGTGTCATACTCCCAGAGATCCACCCTCCTCTGCCTCTCAAGAGCTAGGATAAAAGACGTGCACCACCACACCCAGCCAAAAGGTCTTTTGTTTGAAATGAGGACAGGCAGTGCATTCTTCTACCCTGCACCCACCTAGGAAGCAAACCCCAGCTCCCTGGGATGATAAATGACCTCAAAACCACAGAGTTCTTTTTGCCTGCACAGCTGTAGGTTTGCCCACAGTCATTCTGAAGAGACGGAGGGTTGTGAATCCCACTCCACTTTTTTTTTGGCAGATGTGGATCCTAAGGTGTTTTGAAGAGTATTTCCCCATTGATCACTCAGTGCTAACAAGTGTATTGAGATCTTGGTCTTCTGGATCTCAGGCCATTCTCATCCACAGATCTTGTCCATAGTCATTGACTGATCGTACTAAGGTACTAAGGACACAAAGGTCCACAGAAAATATGCCATTTCTCTGTACCAGCCTTACGCTCTTCTAGAAGATGCCATATAGCGGGCACACTGACAGAATTTGAGAAAATTAGTCCCTTTCAAAATTTATTTTCAGTTTTGCAGTGCTGAGATTAGAAACCTTAACATGACATGCTAAATGAGCATGCCACCACTTAAAAATGTGTGTGCTATGCATGTTCATGTCTGTATGCAGTCATGTGTATACATGGTCATGTGTGGGTATATGTGCATATGCATGTTCATATGTGTGGGGTGTGCACATGCATGCTCACGTGTATGTGTATGTGTTATGCATGCGTGTATGTTCATATATGTATGAATGTGTGTATATATGTTCATGTGTGGTGTGCATGTATGTGGTGTGCATGTTTATGTGTGTGCACATTCCTCAGGTATGTTGTCTACTGCTTTTTGAGACAGGGTCTCTCACTGGCCTGGAGTTCACTAATTAGGCCATACTGGCTGGCCAGTGCACCCCAGGGATCCTCTGTCTCCACCTCCTCAGAGCTGGGAGTATAAGCATGCGTCATCATGTGCGGCATTTTCATGTGAGTGCTGGGGTGGATCCTTTGATCCTTCTGCTTATGAGGCAAGCACTTACTGACTGAGCTATGCCCCTACTCCTCCCATCTTTTTTTTTGAGACAGGGTCTCACTATGTAGCCCAGGCTGACCTAGAACTTGTAATCTCCTGCCTCAGCCTCCAGAATGCCAGATTACATGAGTGTTACCATGCCCAACCACTATTTTTGAAGAAACCAAGATCTAGATTTACCTAAGGCCACATTAGGTAAACACTACATTGTTTCAGAACCAGGACCTGAGTCCAAATACACTTTTATTTATTTGTTTGTTTACTGGTGCCTGGCCAACCCACAGCCTTCTCCATGATAGGAAAGCAGTCAGCCACTAAGCTACATCCCCAGCCTGTTTTTTTCTTTTTATTTTATGTGTATCAGTGTTTTTCCTGCATAAATGTAAGTACACCATGTGTGCACAGTGCCTTTGGAGGTCAGAAGAGGTCATTGAATCCCCTGGAGGTGGAGTTAAGGACAGTTGTTAGCCACTAGGTAGGTGGTGAGAAATGAACTTGGATCCTCTCCAAGAGCAGCCGGTGCTCTTAACCACTGAGCCATTTCTCATGCCTCCTCTTTTTAAACATTTCTCATTTGTTTGCAGATTATGGTTAGATCATGGCAGAATATGGCCAACTAAACTGAAGTAAGAGCCAGCAGGCACCCCCTAGCCAAAGAGACAGAGAATGGCTAAAATGGAGATAGGGTCAAGCTGGTAGGGAGGGAAGGTAGGTTCATTCAGTACCCTACTGCTGCCACAAATCTTGAAATAACTCTTGGAGCTCTGGACATCTTCTCCTTGTCGTCTCTACTAACAATGACAAAATCTGCCCCAAGAGGAACTTGGTATTTCCTGTAGAACTGGGTATTTCCTTGGGTGTCTCCTTGTTTTCTGTTTTGTCGCCACTGCCCTGGCTCTGTGGTTCTAACTGCACAAGCCCAGCTTTGGCCAAGACTTTGTTTTTCCTCTTAAGTTGCTTCTGCAGTCACGATTTTATCAACAAGTCACAAAGGCAAACAGGTACATAGGACTGGAAACTTCCTTGGTCTGGTGAGATGGCTCAGTGGGTAAAGGTACTTGCTGCCAAGCCTGACGACCTATGTTCAAACCATGGAACCATCTGGTGGAAGCAGAGAACTGATTCCAGAAAGTTGTCCTCTGACTTCCATTCCACATGTGTGCCATGGCACATGCACGCACAATTTAAAACCAGGATGAACCAGGTGTGGTGGTACATATCTTTAATCCCAGCACTCTGGAGGCAGAGGCAGGCAGATCTGAGATGAGGGCCAGCCTGGTCTACATAGTGACTTCAAGGCCAGCTGGGGCTGCAGGGAGACACTGTCTTAGAAACAAACAACCAGGATGAGCTGGTTACCCCAGCCATCATCCAGTTTGCCAAGAGAGATGGCATAAGTGCAATAATTCCACATATATTGTCTTTGCTGAGATTCAAGATAGTGCTCTGAGATCCAGATTAAAAAAATGTTTTGGAGGAGGCTGGTTGTTCTTGCAGAGGTCCGGGGTTCAATTCCCAACACGTACAAGGTGGCCAACCCCATATTCCTGTTCCAGGGGATCCAACTCCCTCTTCTGACCTCCATGGGCATTTCACAGCATGGGTGCACTTACATACATGCAGGCAACACTCATACACACGCACACACACAAAATTAAATTTTTTGAATGCCGGGCATGGTGGCATAGTTCCAGGTCAGCTGGGGCTACAGGGAGACCCTGTCTCAAAAAGACCAAAAAAAAAAAAATTTTTTTTTGAGACAAGGCCTCACATAGCCCAGAATGGCCTTGAACTCACTATATAAGCTGAGGATGACCTTGAACTCCTATCCTCCTGCCTCCACCTCCCAAATTCTGGGATTACAAATGTGTGCCATCATGCTTAATTTTTCTTTTTTACTTTCAGTGCTGGGGATTGAACACAGAGCCCTGTATATGCTAGGCAAATACTCTAACAATGAACTTTATTCCCAGCCCCTTAATTTTTTTTTTTTTTAAATCACAAAACAGTCACAGGTAAGCTCCATTTCATGAACACATTGAGGAGCTAGAGAGATGGCTCAGCAGTTAAAGAATGCTTGCCGCTCCTCCAGAGGACCAGAGTTTAGTTTCCAGCTCCTACATCAGGTAGCTTACAACTGCCTATAACTGGAACTCCAGGAGATCCAAAACCCTCTTCTGGTCTCCACAGGCACCCTCACACACATGTGCATACACACAGGCATACACATAAATAAAAATTTAAAAAGAAATTCAACCAATCCAAGGAAAGAGTTTTCCATTTTCACTTAACTATACATAGAATGTAGCATGGAATTAAAACTCTTAGGATATAGATGTGAATTTCAACCTGAGTTTTACTACTTACTAGTTACACTATTTTATGTAATCTTCAAGCATATTTTTAAATAATTGAGGATGTAGTTCAGTGGATAGAGTGCTTGCCTATCAGGCACAAAGTCCTGGGTTCAGTCACCAGCATTATAAAGGCCAGGTATGGTTATATACAGCATTCAGGAGGCAAATACATAAGGATCAGATCAAGGTTATCCTTGGCTACATAATGAGTTTGAGGCCAGTCTGGGCTACTACAGGAGCTCTTGTCTCAAAAAAAAAATTACAGTAACTCTCACTGGGTAATGAGTGAAGTACATGGCACCCTACCTGGCACATAAGCAAATGTCTTTTGTGTTTTGTCTGTTTTGTATAAGAAAGTCACAATGGCTCTTAATTAAAAAATATATATATTTTTAGGCCGGTTGTGGTGGCAACCTTTAATCTCAGCACTCTGTGAGTTCAAGGCCAGCCTTGTCTACATAGTGAGTTCCAGGTCAGCTGGAACTACAAGGAGATGCTGTCTCAAAAAGTCCAAAAAAAAAATTACTTTTAAATTTTATGGGCATGAGCATTTTGCCTGCATGTAAGTGCAATATCATGTATCATGCTATGCCCCTGGAGGCCAGAAGAGGGTATGGATCCCCTGGAACTGGAGTTACAGTCGTTAGAGGCCATGTGGGTGCTGGGAACCAAATCAGAATTGAATCCCACCGTCCTCTCCAAGAGCAGCCAGTACTTTTAAGGGCTGAGCCATGTTTCCAGACCCACAAAAGGGTTTTCTTTTAAAAGGCAAAAACCACTAAGATCTCTTCCTCTCCGCCTAAAGAAAATATTGAACATTTGCAGCACACCGTTTTACATTCCATCTGCTCACTTGTGTCGCAAAACTCTATGATACATGATATGGGCACTACTGTTTCTTTTGAAAAACGAGGTTCCTCAAGGGCTGAGGTACTGCTTAGTGTTAGACTGCTCGTCTAGCATGGGTGAGGCCCTGAGTTCAGTCCATAGCATCATCAAAGACCTGAAAGATGAGTTCTTGAAACA